CGCAGGGGCCATGCTAATCTTCTCTGTATCGTTCCAATTTTAGTATATGTGTTGCCGAAGCGAACACTGCAGTCTTTTTTTTTTCCTGCTGGTAATGAAGCTTGAGCTCATCAAGGTCTGAGTCCTTAGCATTTTTGCTCAAGGCTGGCACTCTACCACTTGAGCCACAGCTCCACTTCAGGCTTTTCTTTGCCAGTCCTAGGGACTGAACTCAGTGCCTGGGCTCTGTCCCTGCGTTTCTTTTGCTCAAGGCTAACACTACAGCTCCACTTCAGGCTTTTTCCTAGGTTAGTGGAGATAAGAATCTCGTGGAATTTCCTGTCCAGGCTGGTTTCATACCATGATCCCAGAGTAGCTAGGATTACAGACATGAGCCACCAGTGTCTGGCAGCACTTCAGGCTTTTTGCTAGTTAATTAGAGATAAGAGTCTCTTAGACTTTCCTGAACCTGGATGCCTTTGGACTGTGATCCTCAGAACTCAACCTTCTGAATAGTTTGCTAGGATTGATAACAGATGTGCGCCATCAGCATCAAGTGACTTTTGAGTTCTTTGCATGAAGGAAGGGAGGGGGAGAGGCATCCCAGGCAAAGGGCACAGCCAAAGTAAAGGCCTGACATGAGCTGGGAGTGAGCCTGCAATCTTTAAGGAACCCTCAGTGAGCTGAATAAGCAAGGGCTAAAGTGAGGGAGATGCATGTCTTCTAGGCCACGATGGGGCTTTTTTTTGTCAGCCCTGGAGCTTAAATTCAGGGCCTGGGCACTATCCCTGAGGCTTTGTTCTAGCCTAGTGCTCTACCATTTTGAGCCATATTTCCAGTAGCCATAAGAGTCTCAAAGGGGCTGGGAAGGTGGCTCAGTGGTAGGGCGCTTGCCTTGCATGCATGAGGCCCTGGGTTCGATTCCTCAGCACCACATAAGCAAAAAGAAAAAAGCCGGAAGTGGCGCTGTGGCTCAAGTGGTAGAGCGCTAGCCTTGAGCTGAAGAGCTGAGGGACAGCGCCCAGGCCCAGAGTTCAGGCCCCACAACCGGACCCAAAAAAAAAAGTCTCAAAGACTTTCTTGCTCTGGCTGGCATTGAACCACGATCCTCAGATCTCAGCCTCCTGAGCAGCTAGGATTACAAGAATGAGCCACCAACACCCAGCAGGAATTGTTTTTGTGTTGATATCCATTCTGTTTATCATTAAAACAAAAACCATACGGACCATCTCAAATTGTCTCCCACCCTGCACCAATGCTCATCACCATAGTCTCTCCAGCCTAAAATGCCTATTTTTGTTTCTCTGCCTGAATGTTCATCTCTCATCCAACCCAGATGCCTTCATGGTTAACATAGGCACCCTTGTCCTTGGATGCTTCTGTGTGTCCCTAAAAAGCCTTCCTGTAACTTCTCTTTCCTACCTTGGGATACCCTGGGCATTTTGATCCCTGGCACCCATGGTGCCTTATGTGGCCCCTTGGGCTTCCCTACACAGGTGGAGGTGGGAGGGGGTGTGAAGCAGTGAGGAGGTCCAGCTGTGGAGTGTATCTATCTGCCCTCCACAGAGCCTGTGGGTACGAGCTTTAAACTTGCTCTTTGGGGCCCTGGCCATCTTCCACCTGTCCTACCTGGGATCCCTGTTTGATGTTGATGTGGACGACGCCACAGAGGAGCAGGTGAGGAGGGGTTCTGCACTGCGGGGGGTGGGAGGTGGGGGGAGTGAACTAGGAATGGCACTTCCTGATCATGGAAAAATGTAGACAGAGGCTAGAGGCAGCCAGGAGCATCTCTGGTTATGTGACTTGGCTTGAACTTCTTCTTTTCCATTGTTCCTCACAGTGAGTCACACTGTTGGCTTTGTACATTTGTGCTGGTACTGGGGCTTGCATGTAGGGCCTGGTCGCTGTTTCTTAGCTTTTTCACTTAAGGCTGGGACTTTATCATTTAAGCCACATCTCTACTTCTTTCTACCTTTTAGGTGGTTAATTGGAAATAGAGTCTATTGGGTTTGTCTGTCTGAACTGGCTTTGAACCTACATCCTCAGATCTCTGCCTCCTGAGTAGCTAGGATTACAAGCATGAGCCACTGGTACCTAGCCTCAAATAGGTGTGTGTGGGTGTGTGTGGGAGTATGCATAGGGGCTTAATAAACAATATTCAACTTTATTCAGTTTAGGTGCATTCTGGGTTTGATTTATTTTTTAAGTAGAGCTTTTTTGTTTTTTTTAATTTCATTTATTTATTTTTGCCAGTACCGGGACTTGAACTTGGGGTCTGGGCACTGTACCTGAGCTTCTTTTGCTCAAGACTAGCACTCTACCACTTGAGCCGCAGCACCAATTCTGGATTTTTGTGTATGTATATGTGTGTGCCAGTACTGGGGCTTGAACTTGGGGCTTGGGCACTGTCCCTGAGCTTTTGTGCTCAAGGCTAATGCTCTACCACTTGAGCCACAGCTCCACTTCTGTCCATTTTGTTGGTTAATTATAGATAAGAGTCCCATGGACTTTCCTACCTGGGGTGGCTTCAATCTGTGAACCTCAGATCTCAGCCTCCTGAGTAGCTACGATTACAGGCATGAGCCACCAGCACCTAGCTTGAAATAAATGTTCTGTCTTTTTTTTCTTTTTTCTTTCGTTCTTTTTTTTTGGCGGCGGGGGGGAGGGGGTCAGTCATGAGGCTTGAACTCTGGGCCTGGGCACTGTCCCTGAACTCTTCAGCTCAAGGCAAGCATTCTACCACTGGAGCCACTGTGTCACTTCCAGTTCTCTGGTGGTTTACTGGAGATAAGAGTCTCAGGGACTTACCTGCCCGGGCTGGCTTTGAACCATGATCCTCAGATCTCAGCCTCCTCAGTAGCTAGGATTACAGTCATAAGCCACCTGTAAAGGCTACTTGTAGCCAGGTTCTGGTGACTCACACCTGTAATCCTAGCTACTTGGGAGACTGCAATCCGAGGATTATGGTTCAAAGCCATCCCAGACAGAAAAGTCCATGAGATTCTTATCTTCAATTAACCAGCAAAAAGTCAGAGTTGAGGAATGAAGCTCAAGTGGAAAAGAACCTGCCTTGTGGAAGTAGAGCTGTGGCTCAAATTGGTAGAGCACTATCTTTGTGGGGGATTTTGTTTGTTTTTTTTGCTGGTCATGGTGCCTGAACTCTGGGCCTGGGCGCTGCCCCTCAGCTCTTCAGCTCAAGGCTAGCGCTCTACCACTTGTGCTACAGCACCACTTCTGGCTTTTTCTGCTTATGTGGTACTTAGGAATTGAACCCAGGACCTCATGCATGCAAGGCAAGCACGGTAGAGCACTATCTTTGAGCAAAAGAGCTCATGGACAGTGCCCAGACCTTGAGTTCAAGCCCCACGACTGCCCCCCCCCAAAAAAAGAACCTGCCTTGAATGTAAAAGCTAAATGAGAGCTCGATGTCCTGAGTCAAAAGCCCAGTATTCACACACACACACACACACGATCTATTTGGTTTTTGTTTTCTTTTTGGAGGGTCCGGTCATGGGGCCTGAACTCTGGGCCTGGATGCTGTCCTCAGCTCTTCTTATTGCTTATGTGGTGCTGGGTATCGAACCCAGGGCCTCATGCATGCAAGGCAAGCACTCTACCACTGAGCCACCTTCCCAGTCCACACACGATCTATTTGTATTTACTGAATGGACTACACACCTTCTTTGGTAATTTTTTTTGTCTTGAAATGTTTTTCTAAGGTAGCTAGGTGCTGGTGGCTCACACCTCTAATCCTAGTTACTCAGGAGGCTGAGATCTGAGCATCATGGTTCAAAGCCAGCCTGGGCAGGAAAGTCCGTGAGACTCTTAACTCCAATAAGCCACTAGAAAACCGGAAGTGGCACTATGCCTCAAGCGGTAGAGTGCTTGCCTTGAGCTGAAGAGAGCAGGGACAGTGCCCAAGCTCAGAGTTCAAGCCCCACGACCAACAAAAAAAAAGGATTTTTTTCTAACGTTCTTTATTTATTAAGGAGTTTACAGGTTACAGAATAGGAAAGTTCTCCTGTTTCTTAAAATAATTTTTTTGGAGTGGGGATCAAATCCAGAGCCTCATGCATACTAAACATAATCCCACACACACTAATCTACACTCACAGTTCCTTGGAATGATTGTGTGTGTGTGTGTGTGTGTGTGTGTGTGTGTGTGTGTGTGTGTGTGTTGAAATCGGGGCCTCAAATTGCTTGGCTGGCTCTCTACCACTGAGCCATGCCTCCAGCCTGGCTTTTTGCTGGTTATTTTGGAGATGGAATTTCTTGGACTTTTCAGTCTAAGCTAACTTCAAAACATGATCTTCCAGGTCTCTGTCTCATGAGTAGGTAGGATTAAAGCAAAAACATGTCTGAGTGCCAGTGCTCATACCTGTAATCATAGCTACTCAGAAGGCTAAGATCTGAGGATCATGGTTCACAGCCAGCCCAGGCAGGAAAATCTATGAGATTCTTATCTCCAATTAACCATCAAAAGCTGGCAGTGGAGCTATGACTCAAGTAATAGAGCACTGGCCTTGAGCACAGAGACAGTGTCCAGGCCTTGAGTTCAAAACCCAGTACCAACAACCCCTCCCTTCCCCCTCCCCCCCCCTGCCACACACACACGGAAACACAGACTATATCTGGTTAGCTTTTATTTGTACTCAGGCCCTTCCATACCTTAGGGATATCAGTGAGTAATAGAAATGTTCTTGGGCTGGATTTTCCTGAGACTCACTGTCTTTGCTTAGTAGAACTATTGTATCTCTCTTTTTCCACAGGGCTACGGCATGGCGTACACTGTCCACAAGTGGTCAGAGCTCAGCTGGGCCAGTCACTGGGTCACTTTTGGATGCTGGATCTTCTACCGTCTCATAGGCTGAAGCATATGCCCCTCATAGCCCCCTTAAAATCCCTCTTCAGGGTGCCAGCTTTGATGGGGGATGCAGAAAGGCTCTATCACTACTCCTTGACTCCTCTGTGTCCTCAACCCCCACCACCCCTATACACAGACACACACATACACAATCTCCATGCCTGTCAATCCCCACCTCACCATCAGGCAGGAAAAGGTGGTCCTTGTTGGGGCGTAGGAATGGGGGATACTTGGGGAAGCAGAGATGGGGAGATCCAGGGCCTCCCTGCCTGCCCTCTTCTTTTTTATATACAGTTTGTTATTGTCAAATAAAAGTAGAAATATACAATAGGCTCTTTCTTCACTGCTCAGAGGGAAATAGAGTGAACAATGAAGCAAGCACAGCAGTAGGAAAAAGTTTGGAAACTATAAACTATAAGGAAGGAGCAGACTGTGATTGGTTCACTCTTTTATGATTGTTCCTGATTGGCTGATAAGCCCGAGGATGGCAAGGTCTTGGTCCTATTTGATTTGAAAGGGGCTGGATTCTGGGGGGAAAGACAGATATTCATTGGCTAGAAAACTGAGATCACTATTCCAAATGACTTATCTTGCTGGGACCAGAGAGAACGCAAGACAGATGACAGGTTGATATTATTGGTCCTTAGGACTGAAGATTGTGGTTGTCTGGATTCTGACTGAATGCTTTGTGGATGCTCACTAGTTTATTTTGTTTTTTTTGGGGGGGGGGTCGGCCGTGGGGCTTCAACTCTGGGCCTGGGCGCTGTCCCTCAGCTCTTCAGCTCAAGGCGAGCGCTTTACCACTTGAGCCACAGCGCCACTTCCGGTTTTCTGGTGGTTTATTGGAGATAGGAGTCTCATGGTCTCTCCTGCCCGGGCTGGCTTTGAACCACGATCCTCAGATCTCAGCCTCCTGAGTAGCTAGGAATACAGGCGTGAGCCACCAGCGCCCGGCTTTTCTGTTTTTTTTTTTTTTTTCACTAGTTTAGTATTATGCCATTCTGGTTAGCTATTTAGAATTGGCAGGGTTGAGGATCTCCATGCCAATTAGCTTGTCGGACTGAGGGATCTGGGTCCTGATTGGTTATGATTTGAAGTCCGTGGAGGTGAAGCTGACCGTGCCTTTAGGACTGAGGGTTTCTGAAGACTGCGGGGACCAGGGACAAGGTTTTGTAGCGTGCACGGTGTGGTCAGCCAGTTATTTTCCTTACATTAAGAGTGGGAGTTGGTCTGGGAACTTACTAGTTGCCCAGAGAACAAAGGCACAGGGTAGAAGACTAGGCTGTGAACGTGGAAGACTTACACCTTGTTTATTCTACGCGGAACAGAAAAAATAGAAGTCAAGAACTGCTGCAGAATGGCTTCAAGCTTTAACATCTACCAAGTTTGGCGAATCCCCGCCCCATCTCCCTCCTGATTTAATTGCAGCCAACTGCGAAACCGCACCACGCGTGAGGACTAGGCTAGCGACTAACCCAAAGCTCCTATTGGTTGTGTTTCGCTTTCGTTTTTCCCTATTGGCCCACTCCATTAGGTCGGGAGCCCGTGGGGCGGGACTTAAACCAGGGCTGTTTTACCCAGTCAGCCAGTCAAACTGAAGTCGGAAGCCTGAGGGGAAAGAAGCATCTACCACGCTGCTCGGGTGAGTGCTTTGCGCACCCCCTCCAACCCCACTTAGGCCTGCACCACCAGCCGCCCCAAGCCCCGTCCCCCGTCTGGCTCCTACACAGGACTCCCAGGACCATAGTCTGGACGACAGAAGGCTCGCCCTTTCGCCGGGATGCTGAGGCAGGGTGGGGGTGGGGGGCTAAGATTGGTAGTCTCTGTGCTGGGCTCCCCTTTACCAGGTTAGCGTAGCCTGTGGGGTCGGACCCCACTTCTCCTAGACTTTCTGACAGGTTGACGGCATTGTATGCCATTGCCTGGAGGCTTTGGCTTCTGGAATTCTGGGCCTTAGGACTGTGACTTCTTAATCTCATTTGTCCTGTGGCAGATTTCTAGGCTCTGGTCCCCACTAGCTTCCTGTGCCATCCTACCCTACCTTGAGCACCCAGTGCTGGCAACAGGCTCTCTTGACAGTGTCTCTCAGTGGTTCTCAGGTGTCCCACGTCAGACCATTACCCTACCCCTCACACTCCCACTCCATCCCCCATCCCCTCCACACCACCCCCCAGGGCTGAGGCCAGGCCCAGTTCTTTGTCTTCTCCACTAGACTGTGACCAGTGAGAATTGGGCCTAAGCCTGTATGTCCCTTATCAGATTGTGACCCCTGAGGTCTGGACCAAGGCCTGGAACAAGCTGTTTTTTGGGTTTGGTTTCGTTTTTATAATTTTATCGTCAAGGTGATGTACAGAGGGGTTACAGTCACATATGTAAGGTAGTGAGTACATTTGTTGTCAAAAGTTGTTACCCCCTCCCTTGTTTTACTTCCACTTTCCCTCCCCCTCCCCCTAGCTATCTGTTTTATCTATTTACTTTTGGGTGTGCAAGTGCTGGAGCTTGAACTGAGGGTCAGAGCACTGCCCTTAGCTTTTTCAACTCTACTTTTGGTGATTAATTGGAGATAAGAGTCTCATAGACTTTTCCTGCCCAGGCTGGTTTTGAACTATGATCCTCAGTTCTTAGCCTCCTGAGTAGCTAGGATTACTGACATGAGCCTCCCGTGCTGGGCCTTTAGTCCAGCTTTTAAAACCACAAGCAGGGCTGGGAAAGTGGCTCAGTGGTAGAGTGCTTGCCTTGCATGCCTGAGGCCCTGGGTTTGATTCCTCAGCACCACATAAGCAAAAA